CCTCAGAGATAAGGTAGAATTTCAAGCAAGAAAAGACAATGTGGCATTGTGTCAGGGGACCGGGTAAAGTTTGTATCACATTAGGACAGAACGTTAGTCACTTTTTTCACAGTCAGCAACTTTTGTATTTCAGTGTTTATTCTCAGGCTTCAATCTTACCATTGAATACATAATATTACTGAAAGGCTTCATCTGTAGCTGTTAACGTAAGGTGTTCTTCGAGTCTCTAAGAGGACTGCCCCAGCAGCTATTCTGTCACTACCTAATGCCAGGCATCTTCAAAGCACATGCATGACTTAGTGACTATACCTCTCTAAGGCTGACCCAAAATCTTGGTGTCTCTAAATGCAGTTTAAAAAATAAATTTAGCTAGCATTTTTTATTTTATTTTTATTTTTATTTATTATTATTATTATTATTTTAGGTGAGGCAAACTTTGGTTGACCTCACAGATTACAAGGACCTTGTCAGCTTACAGTCCCTTATTTTTTATTTTTTATGCCTACAGCACCTGGTCTTCCTAGGTGGTCTCCCATCCAAGTACTAACCAGGTCCGACCCTGCTTAGCTTCTGAGATCAGAAGGGATTGGGCTTGTTCAGGGTGGTATGGCCATAGACAGCTAGCATTTTTTAAAGAAAAAATTTAGTATTGACTGGGAACTGTTTAATATAATGGCCAAAATTAATTGAGAGCTTACGACTTGCCAGACATTATACTAAGCACTTTATACTCATTAGTTTATTAATTCTTTTCTGAGGTGGGTACTATTAGTATTCTTATTTTACAGATGGAAAAATCGAGGCAGTTAGAGGTTAGGTAACTCACCCAGAATCACCAACTAATAAGCAGTGAATCTTAGACTGGAATTCAGGTATAGCTGACTTGGGAGCCTGAATGTGTAACTGCTGAGTTACTAACACTCACTTCTTTCTGGTCAATACCAGTCATGACTCAAGAAGAAATAAAGACATTGAGAAAGTGTGGAAAACATGTGATTCTAGAGCAGGAAGAAAGGAGAACCAAGATTTGTGAACTGAAAGGCTGGATGAGGAAGGCAAGAGAAATGGGGATGAAGTTTGACAGAAAAGTTGAGGAGAGAAAAGGTGAGGAGTGGACAAGAGCAGGAGACCCACCGAGGCTGCCTTCTTCGGAGAGAGAGCTGAGCTCGTTTGATTCTGAGGGCTATTCTGGAACCCAGGAGTTGAACTTAAACAGTTTGCTCCTAAAGAAGCAGCCAGAAAGTTACAGTTATCTTATATGGAAAAAACATAGAAAATTTAGCTGTCCTGGAAAAAGGTAGAGTAGAAGTCAAGAAAGAAACCAGACTTACTGATGAATAAGTGTTTTCCAAAGCTGCTTTGTGCAGTATATTACGCAACGATAGAATCTGTAATTAGTCAAGGTACCTGTATTTGTTGATTCAGTTAAGAACCTGTGTTAAGCATCTATTGTATGAAAGATACTGTATTAAAGACTGAAGAGGAACTAAGGAAAAATACAGCTCTAAATTTTAAGTGGTGTGTGTGTGCACATTTGTATGTGTAAGAGCAGGGACATTAACATAAGGTAAGTGTGCAATAGCTGTATTAAATGTATAGTAGTGTAAGTGCCGTAAAGAAGATGCAAAATGCTGCAGGGCTTCCAGAAATAGAGCCCTCCATCTATTCAGATGGAGAACTGGGAAAGATTTCTTGGAGGAAGCTGTTTGAGGACAGATTTGAAGGCTAGACAGGGTTTTTGTAGATATAAATGCGGCACATATGTTTTATTTCAGAGAACTCAGAAACAATTGTTTTAAGGTGAATCTGCCCTTTGACTCTGGGAAAGCTTTTATTGATGTGAGATATTTTTTTTCTCTTCCAAAAGTGAAGAATTGGATAATATCATCAAAATGAACAAAAGCTTAAATAGGTAAGATTGAAAAACATGTATGTTTTGCTTTGTTATTGAACTGCACATAGCGAGTTCTTATGTCTTCTCAGTCAAGAGTGTTCTACAAATCTTGAAAAGAAAGCTTGCAGAAATCATCATCATTTTGTTATAGTATGAATGGTTATTACATCTAAAGATTCTAAAATTAAAGTGTCTTTGATTTTCATACTCCATTTGTGTAGTAAGGCAGTTAAATAACCACATTTTTCTTCCTACAATATTAGTACATTAGTATGTAAACTAGTTCGGTTTGGTCACTAAATGCTTTTAATTTAATCATTACAAAATAACTTATTATCTTAGTTAACATTATCTCCTTGTTTTGAATCATTCATAATTGCATGCTTTAAAAATTATAAAAGTCGAGGTTTGTCTTAGAGGTATGTGGAATTTTAGTTATCTTTCTGTTACTTTGCAAACTAACATATTAAACAGACAGGGACCAAAGAGAGGAGACAAAAGCAAATGTCGAATGAATTAATTGATCAAGAGATGAGGTTTTCATAACCTGCTTTGACATTAATGATACATTTTACTGACTATCAACAACTCCCTTAAATTTGCTCCTTTTCAGTTTTCTCATTTATTAAGATAGGAGATATTACATCAAGAATCACAGACTCCATGGCCCATTGAAACCAGGCAGGTGGCAATGAGTGAAGGGAACTGACTGTGTGAAATAGGGGGAACGCCCTGTCCAAAGTGCCCGGTGATTTCTCAGCTCTGGCTGATATTGCTGCATGAGAATTTGAGCCCAGCAATGCAGCACATTTTCAGGAGATGCTGAAAATTCGGGTTTCTATGTGCATGGACATCTTGTAAATACTGGTCCACATTAAAAACAAAAACATTCTGTGAAGTTGAATAACACACCTGTGTACCTATTATGGCTTATGTATCCCCAATTTGTATCTTTTATTTTCCCTAAGGCCCACTGCAATTTAAATTTTGAGCCTATGAAGAAACCTGTTTGGTATATAGGAGTTTCAAGAATTATGTCTCATCTTTCCCAATCAGCTTCTGTTTCCTTAGATGTAAACCAGTCTGTTTAGAGTTAAGTGTCTGTTATTACCACTGACAAGGTTTTTTATTTAATGTATTTAAAGAAATCAAGGTCTCGATGGTATCTTCAGAGCAACTTCTAAGGCAGAGCAAACAGAGAAAAGGTAAGTGCATCTGTCTCTAACCTGAAAATATGATCTCCCCGATTGCTTGTTTTATTCTTTCAGATGTTAGCTGGAAGGGAATTGTAACCTCTGGCATGAAAATGTACTAGCAGATGGGGTAGTGTCCTCACTATTATACGTTTAGTTCAGACATAACTGCCCAGAAGGATTTTTGCTCTTACATTCACCAAACATAAATGAGCAATTCATGAAGAATGTTTATTAGATATGATCTTTCAAGATACCACACAATTTTATTGCAATGTGCAGTGTTTTGTTTCAATTTCTTTGTGTTATACAGAGCCAAAAGCCTTGAAAATCTCATCTTTCTTCATGCCCGGACAGACAAAGATTGCAGAGGGTAAGATTTGATTAAGACTCTCATAGACCTCTTCGAATTAGTCCTAGACTGTATACTATTTCTTCAGAACAAGGGTCAGGAAGTCTGGTGGAACAGGCCCCCAGTCAGGGTCAGGAGATGCTGGCTCTGCCTCCAACATCAACCTGGGTGACCCTGGGCAAGTCATTTAACCTCTGAAGACCTTGGTTTCCTCATCCCATAAAATGAAGGGCATGACCTAGATGATCTCCAAGTTCTCTTTTAAATCTAAAAATGGAAGCAATCTGGCTGTTACAGGTGGTAGACAATAGGCTGGTTTATGAGCTAAATATATTTATTATAAGACAGTTGGTGCTGGGAACATAGCCCTTCACCACTGAGATCTTTGTAAAATATACTAAGGCCACTTTCATTTGGAATCTTGGTTGAATCACTTCGTATGTATATCTCAGATATATCTGTAAATATTTCAAAGTTCAGAGACATGATTTTATTTATTTTGTCTCATAAAAAGTGTTAATAAATGATCAGTAACCAAACTGATAGCATTAAATAGATTAACTTATAGTTCTAGACTGTTATTGATGTAATAGAAAGTTGACTTATGTTACTGATATTATTTTGCATGTTGAAAGAAATCAAACTCTCGACAGTTTCATTAAAGAAAATCCCAGAACAGTCAAGAATGACAAAGGGTAAGGATTTAAGAGATCTATTTTTTCCTCAGATTGGCTGCTTACTTTGTATTTAATTAGTTAAGTTTGCCTTCCTAACATGATAATTATGTCTGTTGTGTTGGTTATCTTTAAAATGATTTATCTGTGCCAGTCTGTGCTCAGAAGGGTATTCTAGCTTTCAAAGCCACTCTTGGCAGATGCAGTCTCAACTCTCTCTAATGTAGAACACTTCAAGTCTATATAATGAAAGTGTTGGCAACAATAATCCCACAGACATCGATGCTTCTTAACAATATATTATTATAATGTAGATATGCAAGCATTATTATAGGTGATTTTTTTTTCAAGTGGAGAACAGATGAAGTGGGAAAATAGTCAATTATCTGTAAGTGGTTATATGAGCTTTACAGGAAAAGAGATTTCAGATATTTAAAAAATGAAATTTGTGGAGTTCCACAAAAGTGGTCAGAAATAGGAAATGTAGTGTGAGCATCAAAAGTAATCATTTTGTGGGCCAGAAGAGAGAAGAAAAGAGAAGTGATTTATAATCTGGGATAACTCAATAGCAACTGGGCTTTGATGCAGGGATGACTGATCTCATTAGCATAGTAGGGAGAGTCTACTCTTCCTTTTCCTTCTTTTCTCCCTCCTTCCTTTCTTCTTTCTTACATTAAAAGAAACTAAAATGTCAATAGTCTTTTCACAGTGAAATCAGAGACAGATGAAAATAGCAAAGGGGAATTGAGGAATTTAAAGGGATTAGCTTTTATACTCCCTAATAGTTTCAAGCTATTGGCATGTGAAAGTTTTATTGGTTGTGGTCAATTTATATAAAGTACTGAAGCCATCACAGAGCTATTTCTACTTTTCCAAGTTTACTTCAGAACATTGAATTTTTTATTAAAAATGACTTGACTAAATCTTCAATGTGTTTAAGTTTAATATATTGATCATCTGATTTCTACCCATGATGTATATGATTTTCATGTTAAAAGAAGACAGCATCTCAATAAATACATTGAACATAGCTTCCCACCAAACCACCTTCAAAGGACACAGAAAGCAAAAGCTGAGACCTGCAGGGAACGTATGCTTTGAATGTATGCTTTTCAATGGATTTAATAATAACGGAGTAATGTTTGGGACCTTACTATTAGGATTATTATCATATCTTGACAGCATTTTGCATGAATAGAGACACTTGAATTAAATATTTCTAAGAACTTTTGATGCTTTAGGTACTGATAACGTCTTACGCCTGTTGTGAGAAATCTGATGTATCATAGAGATTGAATTGCTCTCTCCTTATCTCTCTCTCTCTATTGCTCTGCTTCTCGCCCCAATGTTATAAAGAAACCAAGGCCTTGGAAGTCTTGTTAAAATTAATCAAAGGACTGACAAAAATGAGAAAGGGTAAATAAAGCTTCTACTTTGATGTGGTTCTCTTTTTTTCAGATTAGCTTTTTACACCTCATTAGAAATGGGAGTGTTATGCTTTCCCTTGTCACAGATGAACTGTTGCACTTGTAGACCTATCAGAGATAGTAAGCAGAGAAATAGGATGAGTACTGTTTCCATAGGATCACAGGTTCGAGTTACATTAAAGTAAGTGCAGGAAAACCTGACACATAATCTCTTATTCTATATTTTCTTAAATAATTGAAAAATGAGCCAAATTTTACATTGAAACTAAAAAATAGAAAAGACAAAATTACAAAGTGAAAGGTCTGCTGGCAAGTTTTTCTAAACTGATTTAAAACAAATACTACTGTGGAAATTAATAAAGATAAGCTAAGGATAATCACATCTGGCCCTGGAAACATCTGACCTCCTTTCAGAGACATTCTTGTTTATACAGATTTCAGAAAAAATTAAATGTAACCTAACTGGCATCAAGTTTTCATGTTTTTCTAAAGAAGCCAAGATCTTGAAATGATTATCACTGCAAACGTCAGGGCAGAAAGAGCTAACAAAGAATGAGAACTGCTTTGATGTTTCTGAATCTTGTTTATTTTCTCCTCAATTAATTTTGTGATCTTCTCAGTAATACTGAGAGGTCACATCTTTACTTTTGTCTTCTCTCATCTGTGTCTGATCCCTACTGCCCTGACCTTCACTTTGGAGGCTCTACAGCACATTTTACCTAAATTTACATTTATATGCAGCCCAACAAAATCCCAGAGATTAATTTAACTATATTTTGATAGTCAACTTTTATAATAAAAATGAATTTAATATCGGTATAATAATTTTCTTTAAAATCTTAAATTCATCATTAATCACATAGAATGTGTACATATATATAATTCAGTGGGAGTCCTTCGAAACGGATTTAAACTGTATTTTAAAGAGGTGAAGACCTTGATAATGTTATCAAAGTGAATCTCAAAGGAAGTCTGGCTAAGATTTACTAGTGTCTTTAAATCTGATTTCTGTGACAATCAATAAGATAAAATGATTTGGCATTTTAACTTCATATTTTATTAGCGTGCAACTGGCAATAATGAAGAGCCATATGGCTTCTTTTTAAAGAATTGTCCCAATGTTTAACAGTAGTTGCCTTTTCTCCCAGATTTTGGGTTTCAATTTGCTTTTAAGGATGAATTACTGAATTGAATTTGTGTCTAAATAAAGCAATCTTGACAACATTTTCAAAGCAGATCTCCAAAATGATAAAGATAGTCAAGAGTGAGGTTTAACTAAAACTCCTATAAGTCAACATCTCTAAGGATGGTGGTCTTAGGAGGCAGCCCAGGGGAAGGGCTCGGCAGGTACATGCCCTGGGAGCATGGACATTCAACCACTTCTTTCCTTTGGAGCTATGTCAACATGGTGGCACTACTCAGTCATGACACTTCTGCTATCCTGTACTGCCCCTTTGGGGTTTAGGTTCTGACCCTTTTGGTATTTCTTCAATCTATTTTAATGGGGAGAACATGTGTTCCCCGAGAAGTGAGGCATTAATTTTTCTATTATGTAGGTGTTTTTTCTTGTCCTTTGTAACTCACCACAGTCTAGTTATTTTAAAAAAGGTTTGGTTGGGTGAATGGCTGAGTTTATATGAAATAATATATTCTTATTATTTTATAAGTTATTGTAAATAATATTTATTAATTTTACTGTTACTAAATTATTATTATTAACATTATTCTCATTTTTAAAAAACAGAATAGGTAATTGTATCTGATTTGTTGAGTAGAAATTTATATTCCATCTGGTTCCAGTATAGAACTTTAGCTAACTTACATTATTTTAATGCTGCCCATTTGGGATATTCTAACAAGATGTATCTGAGGGCAAAGTTTATTTTGTTAACTACCAAGTTTCACATATACTACACAATCTGAGAACAAAAATTCCCATATGTTTTTTGTTAACAAATAAAGAAACTTAAATGGTCTTCAGCTCAAGATGTAAGAGAAGAGTTTTCATTTGCACTTGGAGCTTTAAAAATTATATTGCTAGAGAACTTGTATATTTACCACTTCTTAATCTTTCCAATCATTGTTCACTTGATTAGTGTTTTATTTTAACAACATTCACTAAAATTCATTTCCTTCCTCAAAGAAAACAAGACCTCACTGGGCCTATTAAAGTGAATCCTGAAACAAATAATATCAAGAGGTAAGACATTTAAAGCTTTTTCTTCCCCCTTTGTCTGGAATTTAAAGTACATCAAAATTCTGAATGCTTATATTCAGGATAGTAAATTAAATTCAAGCCCAAACTGAGCTTTCCTTGCCAAAACACATCATATTAAACAATTCTGTACAACTGATACACAGACATAATTTCTTGCATTTTATTCTTGGGTTAAGTTTGAGATCAGGTAGATTTTAAGAAATTAAATGGGAATTTTGACTGACCTCTTTTGCGCTAAGTGATTTATTTCTTTGTATGTATGTCTTTGTGTATAAGTGCATGTGTGTGTACATATATAAGGTGTGTGTGTTTACATGTGTGTATATGTATAGGTTGTATGTATATATATGTGTATATACATGTATATAAGTAGTGTGTGTGTATAAATGTATGTGTTTGTATTTTTTAGTGTTCTTCAGAGAAACAGAACCAATAGGATATATAGATATATATAGGGGGAGAGAGAGAGAGAAAAAGAGAGAAAGAGAGAGAGAAATTGATTCATTGATTACAAGGATTTGCTCATGCGAAAAGTCCCAAAATCTGTATTTGGCAAACAGGAGACCTAGATCAGTCAGTGGTATAGTTCCAAGTCCAAATCCGAAGGCCTGAGAACCAGGAGAGCTAATGGTATAAATTGTAGGCCAAGGGCAGGAGAAGACCAGAGTTGCAGATTAAGTAGTCAGGCAGGCAACGTTCCCTCTTACTCAGCCTTTTTGTTCTGTTCAGGACTTCAACTGGTTGAATGGGGCCTACTTGTGTTAGGGAGGGCAATCTGCTTCACTCAGTCTACAGATTCAAAAAAAGTTAATCTCTTCCAAAAACACCTTCACAGACACGCCCAGAACAATGTCTGACCAAATATCTGTGCCCCCTGTTGCCCAGTCAAGTTGACACATGAAATTAACCATCACAATATGTATATGTGTAAGTGTGTATGTATTAAGTATATGTGTGTACGTATAAGTAGTGTATATATATAAATGTATGTATGTGAGTATGTAAGGAGTGTGTATATACTTATATATGAACTATGTCTTCACATGTGTAGTGTATTTGTGTTTACTGTGTGTTTGTGTATGAACTGTGGTATGTATTTAAGATGAAGATCTTAACAAAGTACACTTCATTAAAAGACTTCTACCCATGAATTGTCAAGTAAATCTGGAAAGCTTATGTCCTCTTGCTTTTTATTTTTTAAAAAGCAGATGGAATGTATTTGAAACTGTGCTTGTTGGCATGTCACTGAAAACAGTGTACCAAATAATTCCATGTGGTTTTATTCGAGCTCTTTTTCATTACGTTAACTCAGTACATGATATTATTAGATTCTAAAATGTGTCACTGATGCCTGTAGGCCCAGTCAGCAGAGCAAGGGCTCAGCTAGCTGAAAAACTGGAGTGTGCACTGTCAGGCTGCCCTGTTCTCAGTAGCCTGGCATGTAGCATGGTCAGAGGCCAGAAACTTGTACATTTTGCAACCGATGGACTGAGAAGAAAGCATTGACTTCCTTGGCTACCTAGGTGGTGACTTGAGATAGTGAATGTGAGCAGGGAGGTGACTCGAGATAGTGAATGTGAGCAGGAAGTCTGAAAGACCTGGATTCAAATTCTGGCTCTGTATTGGCTAGCTGTGTCCCTGTGCCTCAATTTGCTCATCTTCAAAATACAGATAGATCATAATACTCTCAAGCCTAGCACATAATAGATATAAGAAACTATTAGTGATAATAAAGATCAAGTGAGTTATGTATTCTTAATGATTTAGATACTGTTCATATATTTAATTTACTTTGATTCACCAAGAAAAATTCATGTTTTCTTTTCTAATTTTTATTAAAGTGTTTCAAATTATGACCTATTGTTTTTCATATGTTGGTGTGTGTGTACACACATGCCTATGTGTACACATGCATACAAATATTTGTGTGGATTTATGTGTGTATGAATTATGAATGTAAGATTCTGTAAGTTTTTCAAAGGTAAAATATGATTATGTCCCCCACTTATTAAAAACTCTCAACATTATCTCATTTTAGGTAGAATAAAATTCTAACCCTTAGTGATGGTCTTATAATTGTTCAGTAAAGTCCAGCCAAATTGCTTCTTTTTCTATTCCAGGCTCATTCCTGCCTTATAACTTCTGCATATGCTATTTCCACTTTGAGAATAGTCTACCCCCATAGTGTCACATTCTTAAAGAGGTCATTTTTGACACTTGAATGTAATTAAGTCACCACCCCCTTTCTCCAGCCCCAGCACCTAGTACCTAGCAGGTACTAGGCTTTCTTTTTCATTTTCTTCATAGGATGTACTGTTATCTGGAATTGTAGCATTCATTTATATGTTAGATTATATATTGTTTGCCTCTCTCCATGTTAAAATGGAAGCTTCATGAAGGTTAAGCCCATATCTCTATTATTCACAGCTATCCCAGCACTTGGGTCCTCTTGTAGGCTTTGCATACCTATTTGTGGATTTAAAGAATGCATAAATACTGAAGATATATACATCATGAGGCATCGCTTCACACAATTTAACTCAAATATTATTTTACATTACTATATTAATTAGCATACTCTTCTATACTGACTTTATGAACTTGAGATTTAAATAGTCTCACTTTGATATATGCTTTATTTAATGTTTAAAAGATCAAGATCTTGATGATATAATCAAAGCAATCTCCACAACCAACATAAATATTACAAGGGAAGAGTTACAATGCTTATTGTTGTGGTTTTTTGTTTGTTTGTTTGTTTTATTTTGTTTTTGAGTACTCAAATCTGGACATAGAATCCCAGGAATTTTTATTTTTCAGTCACTGGCATTCAAATCTCACATACTTTGTTTAAGCAAAACCCAACAAAGGGTTTAAAAAAAGTCAACCAAGAATTTCCTGGAGTAGAATGATTGCTTCTGTTGGGTTAATTGTTTCATTATTTTTATTATGAAAAAGGTCCACATTTTTTTATTGCTCCTTTTAGCCTGAGTATATACATTCTCAGACTCTTGGATACAAGTAAAAATTTGTGTCAACGTCTGGTCACTTCCAAATATCTGTATCTTTGATATATAGGCACAACCACAGAGACTTTGTGATATGATCTTAGTAGGGCCACAGGGCATGAAGAAACAGTACGTTCTGAGGGTGTTCTTTACCCATGTGGCAACTTCCGTAGATCAGAGGAGCTTTGGCTGGAAAACACATGTAGATGCCATAACAAAAGCAAAATTCCATTAAGATCAGAAGCAGATTTTCTAAAGGGTAACAATAAAATACTGATGTGTTTTCAGCAATTTTGTGGAGATTTGTATCAGTAAATGTATTTTAAATTTCAGAAATTTACAGACTTTAATCTTCTTATTGTTTGTTGCCTTCACAGAACTAGTCAAAATTTGTAGTTTTAACACGAAGTTATAAGCACATGTTGCATATCAGACACCAGGTTACATATCATAGACTTTAACAAACTGGCATATTAATCTTAATCCATTGTTATGAATGGAAAACTTGCTAACGGATGTCATTTGCAAAATACATATTCTCCGAAGCTGATTTGAAAGTCCTACAGCATGTTAAAGGTTGATATTAAGAGAATGCCTTCTGGAATGTTCTATGAAATGTACACATAGGCTATTACAAAATGTTCAGTGCACCTGGCAGAGGTTAAGAGTACAGCATTAAATAATCGTAATAGATACAGAGTCCTAATAGAGCATTTAGTACTGACATAATGGCTCTAAGATTAAAATACTGTCTCACTGAGTCTCAATGAGTTTCAGAGATGTATAAATCCCTACGTACTTCTGCAGTCACCTTTACTAATCTCCGTCTTTTTGACATGATCTCAGTCAGTGTTTATACTGTGTCTGAATTTTAATAAATAATTTTGCTCAGTGTTTATACTGTGTCTGAATTTTAATAAATAATTTTGCATTATTCTGCCATTAACCTCATCATTTTTTTAATGTTTTAAAGGGGCCAGAGTCTTGACAATCTCATCAAAGTGACCCCTGAAGTAAATAGAAATAATCCAGGGTGAGGATTACGTCTTTATCTTTCTTCCTTCTCTGTCTCCACCAATTTGTGGCACTCATTGGAGAAACTGTTGAAAAATCTTTGGATTGAAATCAGAAAATCTGGACTCCATTACTTACCAGATGGGTGCCTTTGAGCAAGTCCCTTAAATCACTGAGCTGAGGCTTCTTTGGTTATAAAATGAGGATCATAATGTCTCTTTCACCTTTGTCACTTGATTATTGTAAGGATTAAGTGAAATAATGGATATAAAATCCCTTTAAAGCAAAAATGAATAACAGCGTAAATTATTTACAAAATACAATTTAGTTACAGCTACAGCAAATGAGAAACTAAGCCAGTGTGTCAATGACTTGTAGGGAGGTCAAAATTTGTACTCTTTTAAATGAAGGTCATAGACTGGTATTAATTCAAATACCAAAACTTAATAGTAAAATTTATCTTGAGTACATATATCCTTTAAATTAAAATATTTAGTTGATTTAATTCCATTTCTACTTATCATGTATTTGTTTGCTTTTTTGTTTGAAGTTCTAAAGACTTTGATAACGTCATCAAAATGAATCCAAGAACAGGAAAATGTGTGCAAGGGTAAGATTTAATAAGCTCTTCTTTTTTGTTTCATGCTAAATAATGCTTAAAATATAATTAAATCATAATTTCAGCTGACTGACACTAAACTCAGAGATAGTTCATGAAAAGCCATGTAATCTCCACAATCTAAAATGTTAAAGATTTTGGTCAACTAGTTTCTAATATAATGGCATACCTTTTGATTAATTAGATGCATAGTTGTTTTTCCAAGATGGACAAGACTTTTATTCGTCGATTTGTTTATTTTTCTTAAGCAGAGGGATGGCACAGGAGAGAGGAAGAGAACTAGACTGGAACCCATAGACGTGGGACTAGGCTTGGCTCTGCCCTCACTAACCGTGTGAATAGGATGGGTCGCTTGCCCTGTTTGAGTTTAGTTTTCTCATTCTAAAAGTGAGGAAATTGGACCAAGTGCTCTCTAGTCACCTCTAGTGCTAATTCTGTTACTAAGTTCAAATAAGATGGTTAAAGTAATAGAAAGAGTATGAACTCTGGAGTCAGTTTACTTGGCTTTAAATTCAGCCCTGCCGCTACTAGCCATGGAGGAAAAATATCTTTCTTCATCTTAATTTTTCCCTTTGTGAAGTTGGGATAATCATACTTCCTATGTCATAGAATTAATGTGAGGATTAAGTCATATAAATTATGTAAATCACTTAGAATAGTGCCTAGCACATCACACATTTTCTAAAACCATTAGTTATTGTTTATTATTTCTATGCAGTTATAGGCAGATTAAAAAATATATATTCATAGTGAGGACTGAAAAACTCCAACCCTTTGAGAGAATCCTTGTTTAAATAAGTATTTCATAATAAAATATTTTTATAATAAAAATATTTCTCAGTTTTAATAAATATTTACAACCACATGGTGTAAGTTGACCATTGATCTGATCATTTCTTCCCTGTTTTAAAGGGGCCAAAGTCTTGACAGTATCATCAAAGTGGCTCCTGAAACGAACAGAGCTAACCAAAGGTGAGGTTCATGGAACATTTTTATCTCTCCTTTTTTTTCTGTTCAACTTAAAAAAAGGGATAAAATTCATTGTCCCATCATAGAGATGGCCAGTGATGGAATCCACCAAAAAGCAAGTCCTTGTTCAGGGCTCCCTGGCCATGAGCTTGAGTGGAGGAGAGAGAATTCTTTAAAATATCTCTTATGAGTGTGTGATTTGTACTCCATGCTCAGGATTCCCCATGAGATGAAACATCATCCCAAAACAATTTCCTAGAGCTAAGCAGTCTAAACAAGGTCTTCATGTGAAGAAAACGTCTCCTGCGGTCTTTCTCCTTTATTTATTTATTCCCTCTCCTCTTACTGTCTACCACCCAAACACTTCCTAAAGTTAGGGGGTTATTTTAAAAAAAATTATTCTTGGTTCATTGAAATAATAAGGAATACAAAGAATGACATTTGTTTTTTATAAAAGAATTTTCTCTAAGGCATGCCGTGTTAGGTAAGTAGAGAGACATGACAGAATCATGAAGCTATAAACATATATTGCTGTTAGTTTGAACATGAGTTAAATACAAAAGGTACTAAGGCATACATCTGCTTTCTGACAGATTTTCTATCTTTCTTTGTATATAGGAATGTTCTCCAATTTTTTATACTATATAGCTCTATTGTATAAAGTTTCTCAGGCTAGACCAGCGGTAAGCAACTTTTGCTTAAAGGTCTAGACAGTAAATATTTTAGGTTTGAGAGGGCCAAAACAGTTTCTGTTTTAACTAGTCAACTGGCAGCCATAGAGCAGTACATTGTAAATGAATGGGTATGGCTTTGTTCCAATAAAACTTTTTTTACAAAACTAGATTGCACCCTAGATTTAGCTTGAAGACCATAGTTTGCTGACCCCTGGCAAGATAATATTATATGTGGATGGGAGAGAAAGATTAATTCTGAATGTAATTGGGATAGCTTCCAATAAAACATAGCCTGCTTCCCGTGCCCCCAGTTTGCATATATTTTCATTCACTTTATGGTTACCCCCAAATTTTATCACTCTTTTATCTGAATATTTAATGCTAAATTGTCCTTAGTTTTTTTATCGCTGAAAGAGAGCATAACATTATTGTCATTGTTTGAGGGTCAGATACTGAATCTAGAGACCATATAATACTTTATATTACTTTATATTGTGTAGTAACCCTGTATTGGTTATTTTTATTATTGCTTCCATTAAGATTCATTGAAAGATAAATCTTCATTGGTCCTCTTCCAAGAACACTTAGTTCGTAAAGCTAAAGATGTCCTTAATCATACGAACTTTCCCACGCAGTGTTTGAGCCTCTGTTTTAGCGCCCACATCCTACCTTATATTGCATTAGGTCATGTGTCCATCTCTTTCACGTCATAATGAATTTTTTGAGTTCAGAGAACGCTTACTAGCCATATGATTTTGGACAAATAGTGTAATCTTCTTTAAGCCTCAGCTTCTTTATCTGTAAAATGGGGATTGTAAGAGTTATTTTCTTCATAAGTCGCTAGAAAAATTTGATAAGATCAAGCTTGTAAAGTATGCAGTGTTCAAGTACTTGTTAGACAGTATCTATTGGTATTATTGTTGCTGGTACAATTTTTTTCTTCATTGTTGAGTCCCCATAGCACCATTCAATGTTTAATTCAAAGAAGATACCAAAGAAATTATTCTATTATATTGAACCTCATGAAATTATGGCAGTCAACTGTATGTGACTCACCAAATGACAATTCCATATAGTTTAACATAATGTACATGGGGAGATACGCACATGATAAAATGAGTTTGTGGGTTAATCCTAGAAATTAGTTAAGTGATATAAGACTTTCTGATCTTTTTTTTTTCTTTAGCATATATAACATATTGTCCCATAATGAAGTATATCAAATTAGGCTTCTTGTTCAGGCCTTTTGGTATTAGGGTTTGTATGAGAGCCCAGTGTAATAATAGAAATGTCTCTTTAGAGCTAAGATTGCCTATTTGAGTGTTTAGAATAAAAACAAGTTATATAATTTGAAGTCTTACTCGTTCTGATTTAGTATTACAGGAAGTGTGATTCTAAAGTGATTTGATTTATATCTTGGAGCAGCTTCAATGCTATATATTTGTGTCAGGTATATCACCTACGTACCTTAGAATCAGGAAATAACTTTTTTTTTTTTTTTTGGAGGAGAGGGGAGGGAAACAAGGAACACATGGAAATGAGCTATTTTGTATTTTTCTCTTGTCTATTCCAACTTTCAAAAATATTGGCCAGTAGAGGGAGGGAACAATTGAGGGATTATTTCATGAACTATATAGATGTCTAATCAATGTACTGTATACTTGAAACTAATTTAAATAAATAATTTATTTTTTAAAAAAGTTTATCTGCATGCTCCCAGGCAATAATAATAATAATAATAAAATATTCTAATTCTACTGCAAAATGTAATATGGAAAATAAGAAGTTTATGAGTAACTTAAATTTGAAGTTATCTTGAAAGAAATAAGAATAAAATGGAAATGAATTTTCATATATACATAGTTATGTAAGAAATGAATTGATAGTAGCAATCTATATTTCCATGGGCTAAAAAGAGAATTCAAGTAGTGATGAAGTTTTAAATTAGCAACAATCATTTAATTAAATAGCAAGGTCGAAAAAAGTATACAAGTTATTATTGATTTTAGTTGATTTGACCAGCTACTGAAACTTACAACATTGTTTCAGGAACCAAGACTTGAACAATCTTATCAAAGTAACCCCTTCAGCAAACAAAAGGTAAGCTTATTAAGATAATTCAAGACTCCTGAGCAAGTCTCCAATTTATGCCAAAAAATAAGATTAATTATTTGGCTAAAGATATTTTGAAAGAGGATATGAAAAAAAAAAAAAGGGAACGAGTTGATTTTCTGTGTAGTAACCCTGTATTGGTTATTTTTATTATTGCTTCCATTTATTTCATTATAATATTGTTTAGAATGATCATATTGAGGCTACGTCTGTATAATTGCTACTTGAGGAATTCAATACAATAGTATAATAACTAGTTATTACTGTAATTTTATAGTTAATAAATTATGCTTATAAAACTAAATAAACCAAAGAATATTGGCATTTTACTCCTTCACAAAAATTAAAAGATTAATTTTAAAATGAGTGCTAAGAAAATTGATGACATAACATTCTTATTCTTGATTAGAATATTTTTGTGTGACATTGAATTTGCTTCTGTCTTCTTGAAAAGTTATGACCCATTTTACCCTGGAACGAAGGTTAAGAAAAGAATGCAAAGTAACTCCAAACTACCTCTCAATTCTTGTGAAGATATTATTAGTGAAAAGCACTGTGCACATGTGAGAAACCATTGTGAACATAGAGAGATGAAGGTATTAGCAGGAAACATGGGATATGAGATCTAGTTGCCATGGTTTCAATTCTGATTCATCCTCAGTCACTTCTTAGGTACCTGGCCCAAAGGAGTGTCTTAACTTCTCTGACATTCAGTTTCTTTTTTAATAAAGGGGGGATGGTAACATATACTTTACTAGTTTGTTTTGAGGATTTAAAAAAAGATAACTAATGTATATAAAGCAGAAACTCAATAAATTTATCATTTTTTATCTAGAATTCCATTGAATGATTCACAAATGTCAAAAGTGAAAATGCCAGCCATAAAATTTGCTGACTTCTAACTGAATTTGACCTTTTTTGTTTGTTTGTTCGTTTTAGCAATGAACAAGGTCTTGACGAACTTATTAATGTAAGCCCCAAAGCTGTCAAAAACATGGCTGGGTAAGAGAAAGATGTTTTTGATTCATTTGACTTACACTCATTCTATTTACAAATTGAATATAAGACTTAAAAAAATCATCACAATTTTTTATGTCCCTGGAAACTTAAATATCTAACCATTTGTTAAAAGCAAGAAAGGAAGGCGGTTGAAAAAAATATGGTGGCGGCTCTACTTCTTTCAGCATCAAGTAAAGCAACTGAAGGAAGTGACTGGGGGGGAACATAGCTAGTCTGTGTGCTGTTTACGTAGCTGTTTATGTCTCTGGAATTGATTGAAATTTATTGATAATAATTTTTAAAAGACCTAGATACTTCATTAGACTCATCACCAGCAAATATCATTCACCTTGTTTGTGAATTGTATTTTCTGGTTCTTCGTGAAAATTTTATGAGGTTCACTGTTTTTTAAATGGTGTGCTGCTCCCAGAAAAGTTATGGACCTAAAATTGGTGATTTTTTAAGTAGTATCTGTAAGATGATGAAATTCACTTTTTGTTTCTGGTTATATGAAGATTTTTATGTCATTATACACTGCATATATATATGGTATATGTATGATATCTAAAGAATGTTTTCATGATTTTTCTTCTTGAATTTAGTTGGTACATATAAAAATTGCAACATTTTAGAGGTGGAACCTCAGAGAATTCATAGCCCAGTTAAGTCTGAACAATTTTGAAAACCTGTTTCAGTTGAACCTATTCAATTTACAGAAGAGGAAATCACGACTCAAAGTTTAGGTGATTTGATCAGGGTCACAGAGAAAACTAGTGGAAGAATGATAGTAGTTCTGTGCTCTGTAAGGCAGTGAATAATTATTGAGCACCTACTGGGTTTGAAGCTTAAAACTAGGTATCATTAGTTGCACACTATATAATTATATAGGCCATAGGCACCAAAAAGAGAATTCAGTAGACATACTCAATCTTATTAACAGCAGGCAATTATCATAGATTAAAGCTAATTATGTACCAGGGACACAGAGATTTTATTCCAAGACAATAATAGGTTGTCAATTTAATATATTACATTTTGGAACACTCATGTATTGCTTGCTGAATATAGAATGCATTCTCAGTGCATTGCATTTAAAAAGAAAAAGAGGCATTGAATAGCTAATTTAATAAACAGGCAGAAAATTTCATAATCATAGATTCCTAGGAGTAGAAGACAGTGGAAATAAGCAGAGTCTTAGAGATGATTTAGTCCAGTCTCCTCATTTTTCAGATGAGAATACTGAGGCCAGAGTCAAAAATCTCTTAGTCTTCTGTGAGTAATTCTAACTTCAAGCCAACAACTGTTCTTTAAACTATAGCACACAGATTTTGATCTTAAAATAAATGCAAGTTAATTGAGCATCTCAGGAAATAGTAGAGGCCATAAAGCTAGGATCGTTGTTCTTTCTATGTATGGGACAGCCCGGAGGCATCCTTTACTGCTTTTCAGTGTCACTTGAATGATTACTTCATAGTTGACAATTGCACAAATGTGCAAATGACTGCAAAGCATTTACTGCTTTTAAACTATAAATAATACCTAAATATTCTGATGTGTCTCTTTACTATATCCTTAAAGCAAAATAAATGAAAGCAGTAATGGGTAGAAAAAATATTACATTTTTTCTGGATAAATTTTAGATATAAAATTCCTGTGTTTGCGGGGATCCAGGGCCTAAAAAAAAGTCTATAAATCTGTTGTTTCTAATTCATCGAGATAAATTGCATGATGCTCACAATCAAGGCAATTTAGAACTGTTACTAAGAATTCAAAAGTGAATTTCATCATCTTATAGTTACTACTTAAACATCATTAACACACAGTATTGTCTTTTTAGGAGTAGTTAGAGAACACAGCATACATTTTTGTTTTCTAGGTTAGTGTTTTTCAAACTGTGAGTTGCAACCCATTAAAGGGTCTTGTAATTAATATAATGAGTGGCAATCAGTATTTTTCCCCAATTAAATAAAATGAATTAAATAGAGTAGAAAATATGAGTTCTTATGCAGCAAGGGTATTATTTGATGAAATTTATGTTTTATTATGCATGTCTGTATCTATCTGAAAAGAGAGTATTGGGCTGTAATGTAAAATATATTTCTTAATGGGATTTATGAAACAATTTAAATGTGACTGTTTTAGGTTGTTGGATAAATCAAATTTTCAATGTGAAAATGGAAGAACAGTGAAAATGGAAGGTCTCATGTTTGTGATTAATTTTATTTATTGAAAGGTTGTGGCTTATGAATATATTATCTCCTCTACACAATTTTAGTCTTTGTATTCTTTCTTCTAATATAGTACGTAAATCTAATTTTAAAGATTGTTGTCTTTCAGGCACAGTTTAGCTCATGACAGATTATGCAATCAATATATGAAAGGACATTATATTTTGGATAGTTTTTATGTGTTAACCATTCCTTAAATAACTTTCATAGGTATCAATTGATTATCTTTATTCGAGAATATTATTATTGAAGATAATTCAAAACTGAAAATTTGGTTAAGGGCTTTCTGTCTACCACAGAGATCTGAGAATGATTATGAAGAGATCAAAGCAAGTGAATCCATGAGCTGGGAAGTGCATCCTCTGAAATTGTTTAGGACTGGGGGAGAGAACCACAGACCTTTCTCACACTTTTTTGATAATTAACCTCTAAATAGCTCCCCTTCAGTTTCTAACCTCGCATCATTATTGTTGATGAGTAGAATGTATTTTATTTTTATATGATGCAAAAGGGTCATTGGGTGAAAAGAGATACAGGCAGGTTGCTGTCTAAGATGGTAGAAAGCAGATGTTTTCAGTCCTGTGATTTCTTGCCATGGCAGGCTATTGTGTTTCTCTGAATACATATTAAGAAGGGGTTTAGAGGGACAATTGGAAAAAATTACAACTGTCTAACCCTTGAAACGAGGTATATACTGAGGCAGTAAATGACAGCAAACCACGTGGGAGGAAATATTGTTCTGCGACTGGGAAAAGAAACTGGTGGGACTTCAAGTAGGAATTAGACAGTTTTCAGAGTATGTAACTAATTTGACCATGAACAGCTGATTTAATTTGGCTTTTTAATCATCATAAAGGAAAGAAAACTCAATTTCAATGGGTCGCTGAAACTCTCTTTGAAACCTTATGTTAAGTGTAATCCCAATTTTAGAGTTTATTAGTTTTAAAAATATATACATTTAGTTGCTGAATATGATTTTTTAAATAATGAGGATGTTAGAATCTGTTTGTCTCTCCACAATGTGAAAACATTCCAGATTGAAAAGATGTTAATCACCAGATGGATGCAGTGAACACTTAGCCAGTATGCCCTGGTAGATATACTCTGGCAAGAAAGTGAGTGAAATCAGAATAATTTTTCTTCTGATCCAGCATAATTCATTCTCCCCTGGATTGGTTAGGAAATGTATTTCAAGGCTGTTCAAAGCCATACCAATACATCTCAAACTAAATAAGATAACAAATCCTTTTTTTCTATTTCCAACCAACTTAAACTCTTACTGTTTCTAACCTAGCTGCTTTTATTTTTTTTTTCCACTTAAAGGAATCAAGATATTGATAAGCTCATCAAAGTGAATCCTGAAGCTCTCACCAACAACCAAAGGTAATAGGACTATAATAATTTTTGTGCTTTAGTCAGGAAGAATATTTTGTTTTATCATTATTTTAAGCAAATTTATAACCTTAATGATCTTATCAAAAGAACTCTATAATTAATCAGCAATCTTTTCTCATTTTTCTGTTTCAAGAAACCAGGATCTCGATAACTTCATCAAAGTGAATCCCGCAGCAATCAGAAACAATCAGAGGTAATCATATAAAAGCTGTCATTTTACGTTTTCATCTGTCTGTTGTCTCTGGGTAGAGTAGATTTATAATGTTGCTTTATTGAACTAGCACAACAAAAAAACCTATCACTAATCTGAATTTATTTTTCTCTTTTAAATAGCCAAGACTTGGACAATCTTATTAAAGTGAAACCTTCAGCTCTCAGAAATACAGAGAGGTAAGTGACTTTGCCTATTTTAACATGTTCTCGAAATTCTTCGTTAGGTTTTTTTTTTTCTTTTTCTTCCTTTCTTTTCTTTTCTTTTCTTTTCTTTTCTTTTCTTTTCTTTTCTTTTCTTTTCTTTTCTTTTCTTTTCTTTTCTTTTCAAGGGAGGATGAAAAACAGTGACAGTGGGGTGACTATAGGATTTCCTGCCTTCCTGCCTGCCTTCCTGCCTTCCTGCCTTCCTGCCTGCCTGCCTGCCTGCCTTCCTTCCTCCCTCCCTCCCTCCAATCTCTCTCTCTCTCTCAGTCTTTTCAAGGAAACATGTTGCACTCTTCTGGAATCAACTGCAAAATTTTAGACTCAGTTCTGTATTTCTTATTTGCACTAAGACAACTTAGTGTTGTTGTCTATAGGAAATAGAGTATCAGGACTGAAATGAAACATGATTGAAATTCAATAAGAAAAAAAATATTATGGAGAAGTTGAACCAAACTGGTGGTTTACAGAGATACTTATAGAGAATTGGAAAGGATATTCAGGGTCTTCAAAATTACAGACCCACAGCTAGTATGGGCTCACAAAATATTAAGGCAGATTTTAACTTTGAATTTCCATTTTGAATTCTGCAAATATCTTATAATCTACTATCTTTATGTCATATCATTCACCTAAAGTGTTTTATTAATAGAGAATAAATAATGCACCAGAGCGCACTGCATTAGAAGTCAAAATTGTTCTGCTGACCTGAAATTTTATCATAATAAATATGTAGCTGGGAATCATAGTCTCAATATTCTGAGGTGAAAAATTGACATAGGAAACATGGTCTGAACCTACAGGGAGAAGGAGGACAGTGTGTTACACTCATCGGCCTAGCTCTTATGTCTCCTAGTTTCTATTTTACATTAGTGCTTTTTCTATGTGCATGTTTTTATCATGATGTTTGGGTCTCTGAAGCAGGAAGTACAAAGGTGGTCGAAAAGCCCTTATTACTTAGAGAGTAGCATTTGTTGAGCACCTATGGTGCGACTGGCAACTTATAGAAATTTAGTCCTCACTACAACCCTATGAGAAATATATTCATATACCCTACATTATAAAAGAGGAAACTATAGCTCAAAGATATAAAATGACCTTATCAAGAAAGAAAACATATCCTGGATCTAAGCGTAAGTCCTTCTGATATCACTACCTAGAAGAAAAAAAATCTGACTGAAACAACCCTGATTCTCTTCTTTCCATTCTTTATCTCCTTACAGTCCCTTCCCTTCTAATTCCTCTCCCACCCCCGCAGTTAAAAGACTACAATGAGATACATTTATTCTAGAAAATTATTGTTAAAATGAGAGGGAGGAGAGAAAGTACTTATCTCATAGAGGTTTTCTAATAGTTGAAATAACAGCAGACTTTTGGTGTCGACCCAGCCACTGATAATCATGCAGATATATCTTTGTTAAGTAGAATCATTTCTTCATAGTGGTATTGGTTGGTGCAGATTTTCTTATTATTAACAGTTTTAGGAGGTTTCCGACCATGTTGGAAGTGATTAGATTTAATAACCACATGCAGAATAACTAACAGTGGCTACTGTAGCCAATTCGTCCGTCTGGACGATTCCGTATAACGAACTCTTACTCTCTCTCCCCTCCCCTCCTCCCTCCCTCCCTCTTTCCTTCTTCGAACTTCCTTCTCTTTCCCGACCTCTAGCAAATGTGCTAATATTGATGATGGTAACTTTCTCATAAAAGTTTGGCCTTTTGTTTATTAGAAGAGGTTAATTTTATAAAAAGATAGTTTTTATTTCAACAACTCCTAATAAAATATCTACAAAAAGAAGACATTCTCCTTATACAGGTAGTGTTACTATTAAAAATTTTAAAAATATTGGCCATCATGTCGTTTTCAGTCAGCAGCTTGGTCTCCAAATGTAACCTAAGTGCTGTCTGGTGATTCTTTAGTAGCTACACAGATTCGATGGTAATCAGCTTGGATGTTGAAGAAAAAAACCAAAAAACAAAAAACCAGCAACTAAGCCACTTATTTGAAAAAATAGTGACTTTATTCAATTGGTTCCACTACCTATATCTATAAAATAGCTATGCTTCCATTTGATTTTAGTAGATAAAGAGTTGGGGCATTTTAAAGTGCCTCCCAGTGGGAATAACAGCCATCAGGCACTTTTACATCCAATTCAATGTGACATGAACACTGATTATTTAATAGTGTAACAGCAGTGAATCAGAGTTCTTTTTACATGACTTTGCTGACATTTCCAGCAGCTGTATATTCAATTCACAGTTAGGGGCGGAATAAACTTCAGTCATTGATCAGAATGTAAGTAGGTGTCCCTGAGCTCCCTCCAGGAACACAACAACCTGAACAAACGCAGATGTGCACAGAATTTTCATTTGTTCAGAGAGAAACTGCATGGCTTTTAGTTTTAGAATTAAGAGATGTTAAAGAGAGATTCAATTATTTGTGGCCTATAAACTGCTGCTCCCAAATGAATATTGAAAAGTATCTAGTGATATTTACTTAGGCCTTTAGAGTTAGAAAAAGCACCCTTTATCTGAAATAGTAAAAAATGTTCTGAACTATTTGTGGTATTATACGTCCATCTTTTTAAGGGTTTCTTATTTACTAAGACATACTGCAAAGATTTTGTATTCCAACAAGAGAAGAGTTCCTTCTTATTTTTCTATTACATAGTTCTCATATTTCTACTCAAAACATAAAGCGGGAGGTGGGGAGTGGGCAACATTGACTCTTTCCAATGCTTCGTTCCCATAATCCATAGATCACCTTGGATGCTTCTCCTAATTATTTCAGGAACATAGGTACTTCATCACCCCCTGAACTACTATAGTCTAGATTACAGTTCAGTCTCCTAAGTGATCCCTCTGCTGCTCGTTGTACCTTCTGCCCTTCAATCCATCTGCCACACTATAGAGTGATATTTCTAAAACAAATATGATCATGTCATTTTTCTGATTAATTCCTGCAGCGGCTTCCCATTTCCATTGGGTAATGGCCGTACTCCTTTACCCGGTTCCTGAAGCCCACCCCATCCTGCCTCCCTCAGGCCTTCTCACCGCATTCTCTATTACGTTCCTTTCACGAGCAAAGCTCACCCAAACACCCTGACTTGCGCACACTCCTCATTCCTTCTTCATCCCTATTAAGTGATTAACTTCTACATATCCTTCAGGTCTCAGCTTAGGCATCACTCTCTCAGGCTCTAGAAAACCCCATATGCCCCCTCACCCCCACCACATCTGCAACCGGTCCTTCCAGATGTTCTCAAGGTCTCTATCCTTTCTGTCCCATAGCTTTTGTCTCTTAGAGGAAATTATTATTTAATCATCTTTCTTAAATTATAGGATTTTTAATAGTAAGATTGAATCTGTCTTGTTCGTTTCTTTATCCACAGTGCATATCGCAATGTGTGGCACATATTAGGTTCTTAATAAATATTCTGCGAATTAAAGGCTAAATCTCAAACTAATCAAGGCTTTATAATCACCCACTTAGATAAAGCCTATTGCTTTCCAGCTCTAACATTCTGAGCCCTCATAAGTGAAACCAGACTGAAGAAATCTGCTATCTTCTAAATGGTCTCCTTTAGCCAATGACTATCTCTTGCTTGTGACATAATCTCAATGAACCATGGGGAATTAGAGCCACTAAAATCTTGGTTACATCTTATATTTAAAATACCTAAATGGCTCAATTTCTTTATGGACCTGTTAATTTATTTAAGATATAATCTTTAAGACTCCTTCGTTGAAAATGATTATAAGAATATGTAAAGCTGGGCCTATTTTGTAATGTCAATAGAGCTGAAGAACTATACCAGTTATCTCACTGAATTCTGTATTCCTTTCAGAGAGACAAATATTCCTTTTGAACTAAAACTTGATGCCTAAGATATAGTTCTTGGCAGAAAAGAAGTACCATAGTAAAATTTTTATATGAAGGCTCTTAATTTTGCAAATGTGTTTGATACTTTACAAAAGTAATTTAAGTAAGCTGTAGAGAGAGAAACATATTGTGGCTTTTAATAAATACCTCCCACACCCTCAGAAGAGCAGTTGAGAGTGAGCCGATAACTTTCTCTCATAAAGAGCTTATCCTAGGAAAACTTGTATAATAGACAATAACTAAAGGGGGTCAGATAGATGGTGACAAAAGTAGATTAGACCTTGAGTGGTGAGCATACAATGCAATATACAGATGATGAATTATAGAATTGTACACTTGAAACATATAATGTTATTAACTAATGTCACCTCAATAAATTTAATAAAAAAAGAGATGCTAATACCTTGGTCCCTAGAATCTCCATTTTTTCCTCTTCATCTGCTCTGTAAGGGAGTGTTACATACCTTAATTGGGACAGTGGAAAATAAATTACATTATAACATAAATAAATGCTTATATTCAAAATTTGTGCTATGACTCTACAAAACAACTCATATTTTCTCCAAAACATTTTGAAATCCACATAAAGAAAGCGTTTTATTTGCTATGGTTAACTTTTTAAAAGCATTTATCCACAGAGAACTGGTGATTTTTCTTGGAGTTAATTCCAGCTGTTCATAAAACGATTGAATTATAAGGTCTTCCTTCCACTGCAACTGTCACAAAAAGGGTTTGAAATGAAGACTTTGCATGACCCTGAAGTGTTTGGCTGGGCTTCTATAAAAAACTTTTTTTCACACTTTGACTCACAGCTCTTCATCTTCTACCGCAGTGTAAAAGACGATGTAATAAATGTGGTCTTAATTAAAGAATGAAATTTATTTTTACATCGTCAGCCTAGGAAGTTTATGAGCAATCTGAACTTCTCTTTTATTAGATCTTCAGATCTAGCTGATGACATCAGTCAGAGTGAATAACCAAAGCAAATACACCTTTTTTACTTTTCATAATTTGGAACTTTTTATTTTGCTTTTTAAAAATCCATTTGTTTACTCAAGAGATATTTTAATCCTCTACCCTCAGCTAAGCAC